TTAAAAAACCCCCCTCATAAATCCCAAAGGAAGTTCTTCATGTTGAAATGAAAGAATACTTAACAGAAACATGAATATATAAAAAAGTGTAACTAAATCTGAGAGTGGAATTCACAATATAGCAAGACTGCATTGGTACAATGTACATTACTTAAAACTATTACAAACATTAAAACTTAAAAGGAGTAAAAACAACAAAGCTAACATTGTGTACCTTAACAGATATACAATTTAAAAGATGTGAATTGTGACATTAAAAACATATAAAGGAGTAGTGTGGTGAAGAGTCAAAGGGAAGAATTTTTGTATGCAATTGAAGCTGCCATCTAGAGAAAATAAACTGTTGAGTGTCGCCCTGGCTGGCATAGCTCAGTGGATTGAGCGCAGGCTGCGAACCAAAGCATCGCAGGTTTGATTCCCACTCAGGGCACATGCCTGGGTTGCAGGCCACGGCCCCCAGCAACCGCACATTGATGTTTCTCTCTCTCTCTCCCTCCCTTCCCTCTCTAAAAATAAATAAAGAAAGAAAGAAATCTTAACAAACAAACAAACAAACAAACAAAAAACCTGTTGAGTGTCTTAGTTGTTTTATCTAAGCCTCTCAGAAACCACAAGCAAATGCCTATGTAATAGATACACAAAAAAGAAAGGAGTTTAAGCACAACACCATAAAAAATGATGAAATCACAAAGGAAGACAGACAAAAAGATAAAGAAACTACAAAAGTACCGGAAACCACTAAAAAAATAGCTAATAGGTTCTTCAACAAACTTTCCAATCAAAAGACATAGAGTGGTTGAAGGGATAAAAAAAAAACACACACACAATATATGCTTCCCAAACCTTTATGGACACAAATAGCCTGAAAGAAAAACAAGGGAAACATATTTATTGGAAAGAAAACCAAAAGAGGACAGGAGTAGCTAAAATTTTCTCAGATAAAATAGACAACCTCATACACTGACACAAAAGAGAAAGGTCATCACAGGATGATAAGTGGTCAATTCATCAAGAGGACAATTTGTCCTGGCTGGTGTGGCTCAGTGGACTGAGCACCCGCCTGCAAACCAAAGGGTTGCCAGTTGGATTCCCAGTCAGGGCACATGCCTGGGATGCAAGCTAGGTCCCTAGTAGGGGGCATGTGATAGGCAACCACCTATTAATGTTTCTCTTCTTCTCTTTCTCCCTCTTTTCACTTCTCTCTAAAAATAAACGAATAAAATCTTTAAAAAACTGAGGACAAAATTTTAAGTATTAAGCGTCCAACAACATATATTAAGATTATTAAGGAAATAGCTCTGGCTGGTATGCCTCAATGGATTGAGTGCTGGCCTGGGAAGTAAGGGGTGGGTGGTTGATTTCCAGTCAGGGCACATTTGTCTGTTGCAGGCCATATCCCCAGTAGGGAGCGCATGAGAGGCAACCATACATTGATGTTTCTCTTCATATCTTTCTGCTTCCCTTCCCCTCTAAAAATAAATAAATAGAATCCTTTAAAAAAAATATTAAGGAAATAATATCAGAACTGAAGGTGAAAATAGAAACCCAGTATTAGTCCAACATTATTAGGGAAATTTAATACCCCTGTTCAACAATACCTGGATCATCCCATCTGAAAGCATTAAGGAATCACTGAAGTTTGACTATACTTTACAATATAATAAATATTTACAGAACATTTCATCCAAATACAACAAAGGATGTAGTCTAGTCAAGGGCACAAGAAACAATATCTATGTAGGTCATATGTTAGGTCAAGAAACATGTTTTGAACTTTCAGTAGAAATTACATCAAGCGTCTTATCTGGTTGCAATGGTATAAAACTAGAAATCAATTTTAATGTTAAGAAAGATGGAGTATTGCCCTGGCTGGTGTAGCTCAGTGGATTGAGTGCAGGCTGCGAACCAAAGAGTCGCCGGTTTGATTCCCAGTCAGGGCACATGCCTGGGTTGCGGGCCCAGTAGGGGGCCACGTGAAAGGCAACGACACATTGATGTTTCTGTCTCTCTTGCTCCCTCCCTTCCCCTCTGCCTAAAAATAAATAAATATAAAAAAAAAGAAAGATGGAGTATTCACAGTTATGATGAAATGAATCACAACACTCCTCAAGAAAGAGCAGGTCAAAGAAAAAAATGAGGTAACTCAAAAAACATCTAGGGACAAAAGGAAGAAAAAACACAACATACCAAAGCTTATGTATGTGGAGCAGAAAATACAATTCTAACACCAAACTTTGTAGCGATCAATCCCACCTTGAGATAAAAGATCTCCAATAAACCACCTAAACATGCACCTCAGGAACTTAGAAAAACAAGAAGAAACTAAACTCAAAGTTAGCAAAGAAAATAAAGAGCTCTTTTTTGAGACAGTACACCTGACACTAAGAACCACAAAGCAACATTAAGAGAGATTTCCTGATGACATGACCCAACATACAGAAAATTATCAACATTTTATTACAAACTTCTGAAATTAATAAATTCAATGAAGATACAGGATACAGAATGAACATCAGTTTGGTATTTATGCACTAACAATAAACTCTTTAAATGGGTTATTAAGAAAGTAAAGAAATTTACAACAGCATCAAAACCAAGAAAGGATACAGGAATCAATTCAAACATTCAGGTGAAAGGTCTGTACACTGAATACTACTAGACATTGATCAAAGATGTGGAAGAAAACACAAATGAAAAGAAATCTTGTGTTCTTGGGTTTTAAGATTTATTACTGTTAAAATGTTATACTCCCCAAAGCAATCTACAGATTAAATGCAATTTTGATCACAATTCCAATGGTATTTTAAACAAAATCTTTAAAAAAGGAATCCTGAAATAGAGGAAACCTCAAAAGACCTTGAATAGCAAAAGCAATCTAGAGCAACAACAACAGATCTAGAGGCATCACACTTCCTGACTTCAAGGTATTACAAAGCCCAAGCCAAACAGTGTGTTGTTATTGTCATAAACACAGACCAACAGGTCAGGAATAGAGAACGCAAAAACAAACCCAGGCACAAATTTCCATTAAAGTTTGACAAAAACAGAAAGACACATGTGACAAAAAGATAGTTTCTTCAATGAATGATGCCAGGGTAACTGGACACTCACATGTCAAACAGCAAAACTGGACACCACTGATAAAAATTAGTTCCTAAGCCCTGGCTGGCGTAGCTCAGTGGATTGAGCGCGGGCTGGGAAACAAAGTGTCCCAGGTTCGATTCCCAGCCAGGGTACATGCCTGGGTTGCAGGCCATGACCCCCAGCAACCGCACATTGATGTTTCTCTCTCTCTCTCTCATCTCCCTCCCTTCCCTCTCTAAAAATAAGTAAATAAAATCTTAAAAAATAAATTAGTTCCCAAATGATTAAAAAATTAGTGTCAGTCTCAAAACTCAGAAATTCCTTCAAGACACCCTGGCTAGTGTGCCTTAGGGGACTGACTGAGTGCTCTTCTGCGAACAAAAAGGTTGCCGGTTAGATTCCTGGTCAGGGCACATGCCTGGGTTGTAGGCCGAGTCCCCCAAGTAGGGCACATGGAAGGCAACCAAACATTATTTTTCTCTCCCTCTCCTCCCTTCCCCTCTCTCTAAAAGTAAAAAATCAAAATCTTAAAAAAGAACACACACACACACAAACTCCTTCAAGACAACCTAGAAAAAAAGCTTTGGAGATTTGTATTGGCAATAATTTACTGGATATGACATTAACCTCCAGGCAAAAATACACAATCTGAACTACAAAACTACAACAAACTAATAACCTTCTGCACAGCACAACAGCAATTAACAAAATGAAAAGCACATTTACAGGATGGGAAAAAATACTTGGAACCCATGTAAAGGTATTTCCTGGAAATATTACAAGCTGTGCCCTGGCTGGTGTGGCTCAGTGAATTGAGTGCCAGCCTGTGAATCAAGGGGTTGCCAGTTGGATTCCCAGTCTGGGGTGCATGCCTGGGTTGTGGACCAGGTCTCCAGTATGGGGCACACAAGTGGCAACCACATATTGGTATTTCCTTCTCTCCTCTCTCCATTCCTTTCTCTAAAAATAAATAAATAAAATCTTTATAAAAAAGAAGGAAATATTATCAATTCAGTTCAGATCACCATAATAAAATGAATACTGTGATACACAAAAAAAGTTACACAGATTTTTTGATTTCTCAGTGAATAAAATTGCTGTTTACATTATACTGCAATCTATTAATGCAATAGCTTTGTATAAAGAATACTACATAACTTAATTAAAATATTTCAATGCTGAAAATTGGTAACCAGCATCTCAGCTTATTAAAATGGCAGGTTTTCTGACAGAAATATTTAACTTGTAAAAAACTCAATATCAATATCTGTGAAGTATAATAAAGCAAAGTATAAGAAAACATGTTCCTGAATCACATAAGTTAATTTATAAAATATACAAAGTTAGCCTATCCTGGCCTAGTAGCTCAGTTGCTTAGAGTGATGTTGATTCCCCAAGGCTGAGGGTTCATCCCCTGGTCAAAACACATACAAGAATCAATCAGTAGTTACAATCAGTAGAGGGTTCTTTCTGTACAGCAGGTATTGGGGCTGCAGGGAGAGTAAGTGGAATAATAATCAATGTTTTCCTCTCTGTCTCTGCAAAAATCAGTGAATAAAAATGAAAAGAAAAAGACTAATCATTAGCCCAAAAATATGGTTAAAAGCAAGGCTAATGGTGTAAACATTTTCCAAAAAATATGTAAAATTGATGAACAAAAATATAAAAAATGCTTTTCCTCACTCATGAAGGTGGAATCCATTAGGCTTCTGACAACACTACTCACCTCAAATCCTTCCCTATGGGGGTTTTGTACAGCAGGTATTGGGGCTGCAGGGAGAGTAGGGGGCAATACAAGCAAACTAGCAAGCAGTGCTGACAGTCCACACGTGAGGACAGAGCCCACCCTAGGGAAGAGAGGGCAAGGGGAAATGCAAGCCCTAGTCAAGGTCACCAGGAGAGGTTGAGGGTCTTACCCAGCGAGGATATAAGAGCAAAGTTCTCCAGCATCACATTGAGGTACAGGTGTCTCTGAGTCTCATCAAGGAGGCGCCATTCTGTCCTGGAGAAATATACGGTGACATCCTCCAAGGTCACCTTATCCTGTCAAAATTAATACAAATGAATTTGGAACAGACTTTCTTCTGGACCCTGCAATCCTACCCTTCCCCCTGTCCAAACCGCTCCAGAGGCCCCAGTTCAGAGAAGACACCGGTCCATGGCCCCAGTGCTGACTTCTGTTTCTCTGTCTGTCTCACTAATCACTCTTACCACCCTCAGCAAAGCAGCAGGGATGGGATGTACCACAGATAAATAGGATCAAAGCTCAGGGCCCCTTCCATCCCGCCAAGCAATTTGTCTGAGTCTCCCACATCATGCCTCCAACACATAAGCAAACATGGGCTTATACTTCACCCTTAAATCCCCAGAGCAGGTACTCAGGACCATGAGCTCACACTTCCTCCAGCTGTGCACAACACTGTGTGATCTCTGCCTCTTTCACATCCAGGTTCACTCCCTTAGCTCTGCCACCTCCTGCTCCACACCACAGGCATCTCTCAGAAATCACCCATGAACTTAGCATATGGCTTCCAGAGAGTCTCAGATATTCTTAACGATCTAGTACAATTGAGACAGGTCAGAAAGAAGTTTGGGAATCACTGCCTGGTATTGCTCAGTGGATTGAGCACCCCTGTGCAAACCCAAAGGGTCGCTGCTTCGATTTCCAGTCTAGGGCACATGCCTGGGTTGCAGGCCAGGTCCCCAGTAGTGGGGGCGCCTACAAATTGATTTTTCTCTCCCTTTCCTTCTCCTTCCCTTTCCCTCTTGTAGGGAGCAGACCAACAGCCGACCATTGACACAGTTGGGACGGATGAGCTGCACAGTAGAGGCAACTGTGGCCAGATCTCCTGTCTATCTCTTCCTGTATGCCTGTCCCTGCTAGCAATAGGTGGTGGGATTTTTAGATACCTGTGCGTTAAATAAAAAATCTGCAGGATGCCTCTGATTCTGTGCAAAATGACTTGCTGACCACAGAACAAAAGTCCCTAAAAACCCTAATGCTGCCTACTTTCCCCACCTGGGAAGTTAAGGACAAAATTAAACTATGGGTAGACCAGCTGCCAGAATGCTGGAGGAAGCTGTTGCTAGGAATGGTCCTTAAGGAGTCACCACTTAAAAGCTCAAGATTTATTAGAGCCACTACCCCTCCCATACCCTGGACAGGAACGTTGATTAATGGGACCAGGTGGGTAAAGCAAGGAGTTCTAGTTGAATATAATAATCTCAATACATGGAAACAAATACAAAACATGGCCCCCGCCCAAGATGTATAAATCAAAAGAACTAGGCAGGAAACCAGTTACCTAACCTAGACAAATCTAACCTCAATAGACAATAGCTAGGTTCTATATAACCTATAAATCACCCCTTGCATCCTTTTAACTTAGACCAGTCCCTAGAATCTTAATAGACACCTAGTTACTAATTGGCACCTGAAAGTTTGTGCCCATATAGCTTCGTTGGCTATCTGATTGATAACTCTCTTGGTCAAAATAACCTATGTTTAACATGGTTGATCTGTGGGACCTCCTGTACTTTTCGATTATTTCTTTAACATGACTGATCTGTAAAACCTTCTGTACTTTTCGAAGTTATTTCTATGGTAACCGTTTCTGCTTTAATAATTACACTATGCACTTGCTCCATAGAATATTGTATAACCTCCCCTATAAAAATAAAGATTAATTCTTCTCGGTGAGTCAGTCGGGCCCAAAAAGCCTGACTGTCCTCTGGCACCCCACCTGGTGTCTCGCTCCATTTTCTTCGCCTGAGCCGTTCCTCCTTCGCCTGAGCCATTCCTCCTTCGGGGACCCTGAGACCCGTCGAGGCTGGACCCCAGCACCCTCTCTCTAAAAGCAAAACAGTGAAAGGCAGGAAGCTCCTGTGGCAATCACGGAAATGGAAATTACAAGGACACCTCCCACCCAGAAGACCCCCTCAGATTTTGCCACCACAAAGCTTGGAGACAAAGCCCCTGCCCTGGGAAATACATAAAATCCCAAGAGCTGACTGAGCACTCGCTCCTCTCTCTCCAGTTGGCCGGAGTCCACTCGGAGGCACACGTTTTGCTTCCTTCAGTGGCGCCCACACTGGCCTCTTCCCTTTTTTCCTGAGTAAAACTTGCTTTAGTCTCACACTGACTTGTTTATTCAAATTGACCCTGGGCCAGTCAAGGACAATAAGGCTGTCTGACAAACCCAAGTTTTAGGAACAAACCAGGACAGGCGCAGCCCCCGGTGTGTTGGAGGTTCAGTAACCAAAACCACTGTCGGCCCCTCAGCCCGCCCCCCAACTCCCTGCTCGTCACACCCTGTGTCACCCACGAGCGTCTCCTGATCCACTGCACCGGGACCCGGGGTGGAAGCCTCCGTGGGGTGAGGGGGTGAGGGGGGTGGGCCCGGCTGCGCGCACTCACCTGGGCCCTGCGCCTCAGCGAGACCGCCGCCATCGGACGCCGGGCGCGGAGCGGAGAGGCGACAAGGCTGGCCTTGGTGTCGGCGTTCCTGTCCCGGCCCTGGCACCGCTCACCAGAGCCGCGTCGCTGGGCCTCACGCCTGCTGCGACCACCAGCACTCTCGCGCCTTCTTCTCCTTTTCATGTCGGGACGGCAAGATCCTGATCGCGTAATAACGAAATAAGAGAAGAGGAAATGCCCGCCACTGGAAGGTACGGAAGTCCTGCCCTGCAGTACAGCCCAAACGGAAATGCGTCTTCTGAGGCTTTTTCGATCAGAATCGCTATGTTCTACGCCCGCCTTCTGGGTTGTGTAGTTCTTCCACTCCAAGGCCAGCATCCTCAGTTTCCTCAGCGGACTCTGGCAGGGGATTTTCGGACAGACAGCCCAACAAGCATGCCGAGTACTAGGGGCTATCACACCTTGGTGAACATCGTTCCTTCATTTCTTGGGCGAGGTAGTCTGTGGTGTGCTTGCACTTTTTTTGTTTGTTTCTTTTGCTTTGGGTTTAACTGCAGCTTTTGCCTATCTTTCTTCAGCACCTGCCATTTCTGACCTCCAGGCATCCTGTCTCTTTTTGATTCACGCCATCTGACTTATGGCTTCTTCATGTAGAACGTGTTTGGGGGAGGTTGCTCCAGACATAACACTATCTGTTCTGCCCTAGTTGTACCCACTTGGCAAAGTCAATGTAATAAAATATACACTAAGCCCTGGCTCGTGTGGCTCAGTGGATTCATTACCAGCCTGTGAACCAAAGAGTTTCTATTTCGATTCCCAGTCAGGGCACATGCCTAGGTTGCAGGCCCTGTCACCAGGTGGTGGCGTGAGAGGCAACCACACATTGATGTTCCCCTCTTTCTCCCTCCCTTCCCCTCTGTCTAAAAATAAAATGAAATCTTTTTTAAAAAATACACTAATACTTAAGGGCAACTGATCCTGATGCAATCAGAAATCTCAGCTCTTTTGGTGAGCAGAGTGACTACCATCAAGACAAATTTGATCTTTTGCCTCTTGCTTAAATTATACATTTTTGAAAAAAAAATAAATGAAGTATATATTGAAGACCTCAAAGACATGCAATTACAGGAATTCAGTCCAGAAATTACATGTAGAGTTCCAGATGAACCAACTGAATATGACAGTCAAGGTAGTAACACTAATTTGTTGATGCATATTGTAATCTATTAAATATGCAATAGCACTATGTCAGAAATAACAAATGCCCTAGCTGGTGTGGCTCAGTAGATTGAGTGCTGACCTGCAAACTAAAGGGTCACCCATTCGATTACCACTTAGGGCACATGCCTGGACTGTGGGCCAGTTCCCCAGTAGGCAGGGTGTGAGAGACAACTGCACATTGATGTTTCTCCCCTCTCTTTCTCCCTCTGTTCCCCTCTCTAAAAATAAGTAAAGAAAGTCTTTTAAAAAAAGAAATAATTCTATATACCATAATTTAAAAATACTTCATTAAAAATGCAAAAAATCATCTAATCCTTCAATCAGTTGCATGCACTCTTTTTGCCTTTCTTGTTAATGAAAATGCATTGTCTCTGTGTTGGGAACAAGGAAATTAAGAACTAAATTTAACCTTAATAGACAAGAACCACATTGTAGCTAAAAAGAAATGATAAAAGAGCCAGAGTACAGTTAAGCAAACATCCCGTGTCTAGCAGATGCTCTCCCCTGGGTAGGCTAGATAAGCAATGCTTTGTAGTTTTAATCAGAAAATAAGAACCTAGCTAGCTAGAGCCAGGAGATTACTAGGTTAATGAACAAACATCCTGCCTTCCCGCCTTATGAAAGAATGCTTGGTTTGAAATTCCCGCGCACGGTCTTTGTAAGCGAATTACTAACTGCCACGTCTGCTTCTGTATAACGCTTGCTTGCCCGCCCATATATAAGAACGTAGTTGTAAGCGCTCACGGCTCTCGTTTGCAGCTCCTTGTGGGCACTGTGTTGCTGGACACTTTGAGAGTTCGCCCCTGCGCAGATTAAACTTGGCCAATAAAGTAACATCTTTGATACCCTGAAAGTCTCCGATACTTGTTCTCGCGTTTGCTGGATGCTACATCTGAACCTCAATAAAGCACATCACAATAAAAAAGGGTATGCCCATGAGGATGGAAATTACGGTATTGAAAATGGAGCAGCCAAAGAATTTAAATGCATGACTCATGGAACTGAACAGTGGAGTGGGGATTGCCTGGTGGAGTGGGGGGTGCTGGGTGGAGGGAGGCAAAGGGAGACAATTAAAACAACTGTAATAGCATAATAAGTAAAATATAATTAAAAAAAGAAAAAATTGACTAATGAATGCCTAAAAAGTGGAACAATAAATTGATGTTTCTCTTCCACTCTCTCCTTTCTTCATTTCTCTCTTCAAAATCAATAAATTTATAAAATAAAATTTTTTTAAAGTAAAATTATAAGTCATGGCTAGTGTAGCTCAGTAGATTGAGCGCCCGAACCAATGGGTCGTTGGTTTGATTCCCAGTCAGGGCACATGCCTGGGTTGCAGGCCAGATCCTCAGTAGGGGGTGTGGAATAGGCAACCACACACTGATGTTTCTCTCCCTCTCTTTCTTCTTCCCTTCCCCTCTCTCTAAAAGTAAATAAATAAAATCTTTTAAAAAATAAAATTATAAGAAAGGTATGCCCAGATTGAAAACTCTGGGAAATTTTACCAGAGAAATAACCTAGCTACCCCATCATACACATGACAAATATATGACAAAAAGTAGGGCAAACCTTTGAAAATAAAAAAGATGCATAATATAAATATAAATGAAAGCCTATTTATTTGCAATTTAAATATTAATTAGGAAAAGTTAATTGATGATAAACTTGGAGAATTGAATTTTGACAAAGTTATTGGTATTTTTGTTAGTGTGAAAATGGGATTGTAATTGTCATAATGAAATAGAACTGGTGAGTTACAGACATAGTAAAAAATTTATAGATGAGGTAATGATGAGTATGATATTCTCAATGCAATAACATTAGAAACACATTCAGGAATTATATTTAAGTAAATGAAGAAGTACATGTGTATAATAAAAGTTTACCAATGTTCAGCTCAGAATTCTTTTACATCATTACATGAAATATAATAAATAAGAAATTATGAGCTGCCATGGGCAGGTAGCTCAGTTGGTCAAATCATCAACACGACACACCAAGATTGTGGGTTTGATACCTGGTCAGGGCACATGTAAGAATCAATCAGCCCTGGCTGGTGTGGCTCAGTGGGCTGAGCACCAGCCTGCAAATCAAAGGGTCATCGCTTTGAATCCCACTCAGGGCAAATGCCTGGGTTGCAGGCCAAGTCAGTTCCCCAGTGGGGGAGGTACATGAGAGGCAAGCATGCATTGATATTTCTCTCCCTCTCTTTCTCCCTCCCTTCCCTTCCACTAAAATAAATAAATTAAAATCTCTAAAAAAAAATCAATCAATGAATGCATAAGTAGAACAACAAACCAATGTTTCTCTCCCTCTCTCTTACTTCCTCTCTCTATATAAAATCAATACATAAATTTAAAACAATATTAAAAGTAAGCATGCATGAAATGAAAATTAAAAATCAATAGTAATTTTAAAGAAATTTTGTCCTGTTTAAAACTTTAAAGGACTTTTTCCTGTCTCTCAGATTGCAGTAGGTGTTGAGGTCTCTCAACTCACCTTTCACCATCTGGACCAGCTGAGGAGTTTGCAGGTTATAGAGACTGCAAAGTTTGTGACACCCTTGATCTAAGACCACCCTTCAGGCTGCATGGGCTCCCTATGGGATTCCTGAGCATTTTTGGGATATGCTCTACCAGGCATTCAGCAAAGGAGATCCAAGCCGACAAAATCTGCAGACTGAGCATGTGCCACATACCAAAATACAAGGGACACACATTACCACACATCTCAGTTTAGTGGTAGAGAGAAGTATGCTTGCGTCTACAAGAAGAATGAAACTTTCCAGCTGGTGGACATGGCATGCATACAGGAGACCACCTACCAGCAAACCAGATGACATTTTCACAGCAGGATCTCACCTGGGACAAATACCCTAGGAAGGACACAGTTGAACCTGCAGATGCTCCCTCAGAGCACTGAGCAGAGAGAGAGAGTGAATCCATATGCCTGTGGAATAAATTCCAGAATCAACTTGGAGTAAGACTCATATGGACCCAAATTTAAGAAAATCCACAAGACTCTCAAGATTGTGGGAATTTAGAGCACACATGAAAATGGATGTTCCTCAGTTAATGAAGATGCTCTACTTGTAAGTGTAACAGCCACAGGACACTCAGTGATGTGTGACCTTAGAATACTATGATAAAGCATTTGACAGCATCCTCACACACAAAAAGATGACAAGCCCCTGTGGAGCACCAAGAGCATCTTCCAAACACTCACAACCACAGACGACCCTGTCATGTGAAAGCTGGAAAATACCTTGGGAAATACGTTGCCCACCAATGCCAGTATGGCCACACTAATGAGCTGTGTCCACTGTCTTAATTCCTGGGACACTGTCATCCAGAGAGTCTGGTTCAAACTCTGACAAGAGGCACAACTCTGACATTGACCTCCTGACAGTGAGTGAGACGGCCAATGAGCATGTCAGGGTGAAAGTAATTTCTTCAATTTGCCCTAAAACCTGGCCATCTGTGCCATTAAGGGGCATGTATGAGATCATGGCCACTTAATTTGAAGGTTCAGATTCACAGATAATAAAGATCCCCAAGTCAAAGGTGAATAGTTAAGCACTTTATTAAGCGAGACCAAAAAGAAAAGCAAGAATCAAGAGCATCCATCACCAGACAAGAAATCACCTACACCCAAACACAGACACTGGGGAACCCCAAGAGGCAGCAGTGGTCTGGGTTCGTTTGGGAACAGTTCTGAGCAAAGCGTCCTTCCCTTGGGTGGGATTCCAAAGTCGCACTTTGGGGCTATGATTAAATATGTTTTAGATAAACATGACTATGTGCCAAGGGCCTTGTGTGATTTTGACTAACTAACCATTCCATCTGGGAGAAGGGCCAATTCTCCCAAGGGAACAGCTAAAGATCAAAAGGTACTAATCTCCCAGGGAGAAGGGTCAGTTCTCCCTGGGAGACAGCACTATATTTTGCTTTTCCAATGAAGGTCACAACTCAGGCATAAACAGGGAGAATTTTTAGAGCCCCTTTAACCCTTCATCATGGAGTCAAATTATGTTGAC